GTCAAAGCAGAGTTGGTGGACTATCCTCAGGACGAGGGACCAATCAGACAAGAGACCAACCAGAGCAAGATCTGCTCTGTCCAATAACAGTGTGTGTGTGTGTGACTGACTGTGTGAGTGAGTGTGTGTCTGTGCGTGAGTGTGTGTGTCTGTGTGTGAGTGTGTGTGTGTGTGTGTTAGAGGATAAGGAGGGTTATGAGAGAGGTTTGTGAGTGTGTGTGTGTTTGAGTCTGTGTGTGAGAGTGTGTTTGAGTCTGTGTGTGTGTGTTTGTGAGTGTGTGTGTGTTTGAGTCTGTGTGTGAGAGTGTGTTTGAGTCTGTGTGTGTGTGTGTGAGAGTGTGTTTGTGTGTTTGAGTCTGTGTGTGTGTGTGTGTGTGTGTTCATCTTTTTTGCTGTGTAGATTCATCAAAAACTCTGAATATGATACTGTTTTATGTAGATTTGAATCCAGTAGTTGACAGACAGTTTACAGTGTGTTTGTTGCTCTGTAGTGTGTTAACTCTGTAGTGTGAGTGCAGTATCAGTCATGTGTGTGTCATGTGAACATAGATTATTGTTTGACAGTATTGTACGACCCAAAAAGTTTGGATTCACTTCTCTGGTAATTTAAGTGATTAACTGCTGAAAACCGTACTGTCAGTATCTATGATCACTCCATCATTTCCAGACTTCTGTGTTATTTCAGAGTCTCCATCACAGTATAATAAAAGAGGTGTGCTGAAACTGTTGAATGTTTTCACATGTATTAGTATAGTGATGAGGTGAAGTGAGGGCTGACTGAAGGTTTCTTTCTCTGTTGTGTGTGTTTCTGCAGCACGTGGTTAAAGCAGACATAGTGAACTACAGTCAGGAGTCGGTGGCTCGAGCCGTCAACCCTCCACGCAGCTCCATGTGTAACATACAGTGATCATCGTCTCTGTCTCGCTCGCGTCTGTCGTCTGAAAGTGTCCTGTTTGATGCAGATGGACTCTGAACTCTGCGTAACGGACACACGGATCCTGCTTTATACTGTCCTCCCTCTTTCTTTGATGTTTATTTGCCATTTAGACATTGTGAGTTACTAAAAAATCTTTAATGTGTGCAAGTACCAGAGCTTTACCTTGTAAACCTTTGCTTGTGTAAGTCGAGACAGATGGATGACGGATCATCATAGAGGATTGGTGTGTGTAAATGCCTCTGGAGTTCGTTCAGCTGAGAACGAGCCGAGATCTCACATCTGCGGGAGAATTCACTCGCACCGACGGAGAACTGACTTCCTCCGGTTAGAGCAGACTGAGTGAGTGAGTGAGTGCGTGCGTGAGAGTGTGTGTGTGTGTGCGTGTGTGTGAGAATGTGTGTGTGAGTGTGTGCGAGTGTGTGTGTGTGTGTGTGTGTGTGTGTGTGTATTTGAGTGATTTGTTGGTTTGTGCGAGCGTGAGTGTTTTCATTTCCACGGGATCCTCTACTTAGAGAAGTTTCATTATATGACCTCTGGATATTTCTGTTTAAATACTGGATGTATTTGCAAACTCAAGCCTGTCCAGGTGTTGTAGAGCGCTGTACTGTTTAGGAATAAATGTCACGACACACGTTGACATGGATGTCTGTTTTTTTTTCTCTTCGCTCTCCATCATCTTCATTGCTCTGGAAAAGTAAAATATGTCTTTTCCAAATCCCAGGGTCAGAAGATGTATTAATGCGGAGGAGGATGTAGACATGTGGTCAGGAATATTGTCCAATATTAATATCATTCAAATGTCTGCCTGTAATTTACTGAAACGTGATGCCAGTGAGTAGTTGCGCTTGAAATAGTCTCCTCTTGACAGCACTTACACACGAGCTGTTCAGAACGAGTCCAGCGCTCATCACTTCATCTGATGGGGAATTAATATACGCTCCACACTTCAGTGTCCATGTGGTCGACGTTTCATTTGTTTCACACGATCAGTCAGTTAAGACGGGAAACATTTGACCTTCACTAAGAGAGAAAGAAACATGTTAACTGCACTGCAAAATAAATGATTATAGTAGCTATCATAGATGCATCTTTATAAAGTTTTTGCACTGGATAATGGTGCGTTCACACCTAAAATGGTAACTACGGTATATTAGTGTCCACACCAATGCACAATAATGTTGTTTACTATAAGTGTGCTGTAGTTTTATCGTCTGCCGCTTTATATGCTGGAACTCTAAACTTTGTTGGATTCTGATTGGCTGTCAATGTTTTTATCGTTAATCAGCTGGAAAAAATAAACATTTTAAATTGTTTAAACCATATCGTTCCTCTGTGTGGTTATAGTTATGGTTTACTATTATTTTAGAAAGTTTTTAAAACTATATAGTTATCGTTAAAGTGCTTGGTGTGAGAGAAAGGCCCGTTCACATCAAGAATGATAACTGTTAACCATAGCGTCCACACCGGCAGCGAATAACGCTCTATTTATTGTAAGAACGCACTGCAGTTTTATTGTCTGTCGCTTTAAATGCTCTTGCGGTTTAAAGCAGGATGGATTCTGATTGGCCTTCACTCGCTGTGTCCGAAATCGCATACTTCCCTACTATATAGTAGGTGAAAACAGTATGTGAGGCGAGTAGTACGTCCAAATTCATAGTATTTGAAAAACAGTAGGCGAAAAGTACCCGGATGACCTACTACTTCTTCCGCCCGGATTCTGAAGTGCGCATTCGATGGACACTTTACTATCCCATGAGGCCACGGGAGAGGATTTATGAACGGCAGTGAAGCAATGCAACTGAAGCTGGTAGGTCATGTGACAGTAACAACATGGCGGATGTAGTACGTCTGAATTTCATTCATACTACCCATAGTCATACTACATAGAACGTACTTTTCTAAAATTCACATTCAAATGTAGTACCTACTTAGTACGCAATTTCAGATGCACCGAATGTTTTTATTGTTAGTCAGCTGGGAAAAAAAATCTTTCAAATTAGAACGACTGTTAACTTCATAATTATCATCCTTGCTGTGAAAGGCGGTGTTGCCAAGTCCACGATTTTCCGTGATATTTAGCCCTTGGAATGCGAATTTTACTTGGGGAACCTCGCCCAAAAAAAGTGTATTTTACTAGGCTAGTTTCGAGTAGCGATTGGGCGGGTTTTGTTGTGTAAACCTGGCAACCCTGCCCAAAACTAGCCCAATGGCATTTCGAGGGGGTCCCCCATTAAAAATCACATTCTGGGTTGTAAAATACAAGTTTTTTGTTTGGGTTCGTTCCCCTAGTAAAATTCGCGTTCCAATGGTAAATATAACGTTATTGGAGTCGCTTCAACCCACGGACATGAAAAACAACCCACGGCCCAATAAGCGGGAAAACCGTGGACTTGGCAACCCTTATTTTTTGTGCTAATTTTGATTAGCGATTGGGCGGGTTTTGTTGTGAAAACCTGGCAACCGTGGTGAACGTGCTATTAATGTGATTCATCAACACTTAACATCTGTAATATATATTTAATCAATCTTTATACGTTGTAATCGTTTATTTTATTTTTCCCTTTGCTTATTTTTTGTTATTTCTCTGAATTTATGTACGTGTTATTGTGACAATTACTGACAGGCATCGCGGTCGCTAATGAATAATGTCTCAGGTTACTTATGTAACCATGGTTCCCTGAGTAGGGAACGAGACACTGCGTCCTCTAGGTTTCCCCATAGCGACCCCTAGAGGACGCAGTTCGAAGTTCCCATGAAAGGGAAATGAAGATTTCACTGCAGAGCTGTCACTTGGCGCGGCCGCTGTTTGTACAGGTGTTTTAGTAAAGAAAACAATGGCAAGATGCTTCCAGTTCAAACTCCTGACCTACTCAAAAAAGACACGAGGAAAGAATAATATATGGTGGAAAATAATGCGAGGAAAAGGGCTGAAGGTTTGACAGATGAGCGGCGGGTCGTCGGGGAGCTCGAGTCTGTTTCCCGCGCGCGGGCTTTGAGTGATGGCGCGACTAATCTGTCCGTTAAAGCTGAAGAGAACATCTCAAACTAACATCTAACACACGCAAAGTGTGATTTAACACAGGTAAGAACCCCTTTACCAGCTTTATGTTATAAAACGGCGTTATTTAAAGGTTAGCATAACATCTAGTTAAAAATATGTTCAGAAATGTTAGCCAAAGGATGTTTTTTTCTAATATTACGAGACCTTAAAGGTATAGTTCACTCAGAAATTAAAATTCTGTCATTATATGTCCTTTTAAACATGTATAACTTTCTTTCTTAAGAAATGGATTCATTGTATGGACAAAAAACGCTGAGAAGCTCTTCAAAATAAATGACCGAATGATCAGTTTGGGGTGAACTGTCCATTTAATGGTCTAATTAACATTCATAACATGAGCCATAGGTTGTTTAAATATTGGAAAACATCTCAGGCCAAACTACGATTTAACACAGGTTAAAAACGTTTTGTTGTCCTTGTTTTCTTAAAACATAAATAGCACTATTGAAAGGTTAGCATAACATTCTCTAAAGAAGGAAACCTAGTTTAAAGATATTAAAAAATGTTGTCCAAATGATGTTTTCTTCTAATATTGCGCTGCATCTCGTGTGTGTGTGTTTTACGAGTGTTTTCGGAGTGATGTCAGACGGTACGGTGACACTAACCGTGTGTTCGCCTCTTCCACGCTGACCTGTAACTCGAGCCGCGCAACCTTTATACAGTGGAGCATTTTAGGGCTCTTCCCGTGAACCCTCGCCACACAAAGCACAGAGGAGACGTTGTGGCCCCTGGACTCATCATTGCAGCTCAAGCCTGAAACAGGGAGTGAACGCCGGCGGGCCGAGGAAGCAGGAAGATTGTTAAAGCAGTGAAAATAAATGCCAAGTGCATTAAAGTGCATCTGGGTGGTCAGATTTGGGGTGAACTGGAAGACCGCTTAAGATGCTCGAAAAGTGCTGGGCTGTAAACCCGTATATCCTGAAAGCCATCTGCTGGTGCACGCCTCTCTACGTGTGCTTATTTTATTCTGGGCTCAAACTGTGTGAGAAGAGCCGTCCCGTATCCCTCGGTTCCTCTCTTTGCATCTGCCAGAGCCACAAAACTGAAGCAAAGTGTGGCTTTCCCATCACTTCAGATGTGTGTCTATCAGCTTTCTGATTCTGTGGATTGCTGTAGTTAGAATAAAAGATATATATCTCAGCCTGACGTGCCTTGATCGACTGACAAGCTCTAAATTAAAGATTATTAGAGTATGTTTTACAAGTACCGTCTAAGTTTAATTCAATGCATTGCTTGCAATTCCTTTGTGAAATTTATTAGCAATTTCTTTTGTTTTTTCAACGTTTTTCATGAATAATGCAACTGTTTAATGCACCTTTTATTTGTTAGAATAAAATAGCCCAGCACACAAAACATTGGTGTGGATTTACATACATTTCAGTAAACTAAATTTCACAAATAATTGCAAAGAAATGGCAACACATTGACGTTAACGTGACATTTTAAAGTGGAAAGTCAAGTCACAGTTATTTCTGTAGTGCTTTGTTCATACAATACAGATATTTTCAAAGCATCTTCACAGAAATAAAAAGGAATATAATAATATTAATGTTGCAAAATCCTATTTATGATTCTATTATCTTGAACTGTTCATTTGTGAAATGAACACATTCACTTCTGCTTTGTAATGTAGACGCATGCATTTTCTGTAAAGCTGCTTTGAAACAATGTGTATTGTGAAAATCGCTATACAAATAAATTTGAATTTAATTTAAAAAATCTATCAATTATGAAACGAATTCAGTTTTTGGCTGTACAGAAGCTCTATAGAAGACAACGGTGCCATTATTCAGCTCAATTCAGTGTTGATTCAGTTTATTCATCAAATTATGAAACAAGCTTAATTTAGCTGTAATGCAACTTTACAGAGCAGAAGACTGGTGTTATTATTAAGATCAAGTTTTCATCAAAGTTTTAATCAATAATAATATGAAGTGTTTTTAAACCCCAGACATTATAAGACAGAAATAGTGATTTCATGTAAACTGCACTGCAGCAACCTTTGCTTTATTTACAGCTTAGACAAATGATTTTTCTCAGCTCTGCGGCTCGATTCTGCTGTTAGTCAGAGATTTAAATAGACTTGCGGTGAACTGGAGTCGGAGACGAGCGCAGAGTGAAAGAAAGATGAAATGAGACTGTGATGAATCAAGCTGATTTATAATATTTCTGTATATAGCATTACTCCAGTATACGCTTACATTCGTCTGGCCTCCAGACATTCCTCAATAATGTGCTGCTATATTAAACCATATAGTGTGTGTGTGTGTGTGTGTGTGTGTGAGTGTGAGTGTGTGTGTGTGTGTGTCCTCGGTTAAGCCCAGGGAGGGCTCCAGATCCTCAGT